GCAGCCTCCCCAAGGCCACGTAGGGCCCAGAACCGACGGAGAGGTACTGAGCACACATCGGGGGCTCCCCTCACACAGGGCAGCGCAGCTCTCGGCCCCAGCGCTGAAACACGGGGGAACAAGCAGCATGAGCGGACAGCGAGATGAGACATGGGCTCTGAGAAGGCACAGTGACCTGCAGGAGAAGGGAGGGACAGAGGCACTGCAAGACTCTGCTGAGGGGTGGGCACGGATGGGAGCACCGAGGAACAGGGCGGCACCTGGCTCTGGGGGCAGCCGAACCCGGAGGAGAAGCAGGACGAGGACAGAGCCTCTGCCGAGTGTATGAGCAGGAAGGCTGCAACCTCTCCTCCAAGCCAGGCCATCCCTGCCCAGGCAGCACCCCGACTCCGCCCCTCCAGCAGCTGCACACGAAGGCCACGCCACCGAAGCCAGAGCAGCTGCCCAGCACCACGTGCTCTCCCAGGCCTCCAGGAGGCGGGTCAGCACGCCGGGGGTTCCCTGACACCCCTTCGCACGCAGGGGGCGGGTGGCCTCGGTGCTCCCCACGCACACGGCCGCGCAACCTCAGCCGCACAGAGCACCTGTCCTCCATCCAGGCACAGCTCCCGGGAGACACCATTTCCACGTCATTATTTACTCTCTGCTTATCTCTCCTTTCCCTTTCTTCTCTTCTAAAGAATTCTGTTTGTGACTTATGAAGGCAAAAGCCAGACAAGGCACAACAGCGTTTGTGGACTCTGGCCGGCATGCCAGCACCAGCAAATGCAGGGATCACTACGGCAGCAGCAGCGACACCTGCGGGCCTCTAGAGGGGGCTGCAGGAACCACGGCAGGCCGGCGCCGGAGGGACGCCAGGCCAGGGAGGACCCTTGCCGCTGCCACCGCCTGCCCACCCCTGCCACCACCACCCTGCAGAACAAGACCGCAGGCACAAAACGCAAAACTGGAGCCCCACCGAGCTCTGAGAGGGGCTCAAAGCCTCTGATGCTGTCGCTTTCTGTCCCCCTCTCCTTCCACAGTACAGTGATTCTGGGCCGCAGTTTCTAAAGCTTCCCAGCACCCCGGGAGTCAAGCCCACTGTAAACCCTGGGACGGACGAATGTGTGCTGTGGACGACTCTGTGCAGACACAGGCACGTTCTCAAACGCCACCCTGTGTGCACAGGAACTCTGTGAGCCAGAACTCAATCTCCTCTCTAAGGAACAAAACCAAGCACTTGAAGCAGTGGGGCGGGCCCCGTTCCCAATTTTTCCAGGGACAATGACAGCAGGGCAGGACAAAGAATGAAATTCACAGCAATGGGAAAACAAGACCCAATTCAAGTTTCCCTCAAACATCCCCTCAGTGACCCCCAAAATACCATTCATGTGGCTTTATTATAAAAATCAGTATGTAATTATGTACAAAAGAAAGTGTATCCTGCACCAACTCTGGGGCAGAAAACAGATCTGTGGCTGGCAAGGCCTGGATGGGGACAGGGTGACTCCACAGAGGCAGCTGGGACCCGGGCAGACAGAGCCATCTGTCTGGAGACGAGCCGCCACGTTCTAGTAAGTGCATCCCAGCACGCACCGCACACGACAGACAGCCGAGGACATGCGCGCGTGCGGAGGACGCGGGAGCCTGCGCCTGCGCTGTCTTCCTTCGTTCCCCAGTGCCCAGGCTCCTTCTGTTCGATTCAAGGAGCACACGTGTGACCCTACCGGCCGACAGGGCAGGACCACCGGCAGGGGGTGGCAAACAGGAGCAGCAGAAATCAGCCAGCTCGGGCCCAGACCACTGGTAAGTGGCTTCCAAACGGGGGCCCAGAACAGGCGTGCTTCCGCGCGCCCAAGGCCGGAGCCCCACCTCGTGTCACCCCATCAAGGGAAGCGCAGAGCACTACGGTTACGGGACACACGGTCTTTGGCACCGACGGGAGGCACGAGGGGTACCACTAAAGGGAGAACGAGAAAAAGGCTGGCTTCCACACTGCCCTTCCGACCATCCACAACACTGCCCGCCCACTGCAACAAGACAGGGGGGGCCACAACTTCCTGCTTTGTTCATGGGAAGCCAGTGTGTACCCGAAGGCCAAGAAGATGCCCGCGCCGGGAAGGGCCAGCCCTGCGGCACCGGCTCTCCCGGAACACGCCCCACTGCCATGCTGGACCCACATGGCACAAAACTCCAGCAACTCGCTCTCATTCTGGCCCAGGACACAACTTGTGGGTTCAAGAATAGAAAAACAGGGGGCGCCCAGGTGGCTCAGTGGTTGAAGCCTCGGCCTTCGGCTCAGGTCATGATCTCAGGGTCCTGGGATCAAGCCCTGCATCGGGCGCTCTGCTCCGCGGGGAGCCTGCTTCCTCCTCTTTCTCCGCCTGCCTCTCTGCCTGCTTGTGATCTGTCAAATAAATAAATAAAATCTTTTTAAAAATAATAATAATAAAATAAAACAAAAAGCAAAAAAAAATTTAATAAAACAAAATGTATGTTCACAGCAGGAAAATTAGGGCACAGAGGACAGTGAGACCCGAATCCACCAGTCCCTGACAGCCACTGCTCGTCACTCATCTCCTGCCAGCCTTCTCCTCTACATGTCTACAACCTCAAACGTTTTCAAATTTATTACCACTCTGAAAACTGCTGTTGTCATACAACATTCCAGGACAAGAGTATCTGCCAACATCAGGGTTCACCCAGAGACAGAACCAGCAGGACCCCCACACGCACGTTCAGAAAGTTATGCCAGGGACAGGCTCAGGCAGCCGTGGCGGCCAGCTGGGCCGCGCCCAAATCCACAGGCAAGCCACAGCGGAGCTCTCCAGGAAGGGGGTTAAGCCGCCTCCACAGCATCAATTTCTTCTGCTTCAGGGAAGCCCCGGCTCTGCTGTCAGCGCCCTTCAACTGATGGGTAAGACCCATTCAGTCACCTAGGACGATGTCCCTTACCTGAAGCCACCAGGTCACGGACACTGAGCACCCCCAGCAAACACCCTCACAGCAACATCCAGGTCAGCGTCTCCGTGATACCCAGGGATGGGGCCCGGCCAGGCTGCCACAGAAAATGGACCATCACATCCCCACAACGGTCAGCTTTTAAAATAGTTTATAAACGTCCATAACTGTTCCCCAAATGCAAATGTGGCACTCTTCCAAAATTTTGCTGAAACGAGTAATGCCAAAATAAATAAAGCTAAAGTGAGTAAGTATATGCTCAGTCTTCATTCTGATGCTCGAATATTTTATGCAAAGAGCCCTGGAAGAGGGCAGCTACACACAGAGAGAACTCAGAAAACTGCGCAGTGTCTCTGAGTCTTTGCCCTCAACCGCCCCCACGTGCGATGTAACGGGAAGGGCAGACATTCCTGGGAACTAGCCCGCATGACCCCAAAACTAACAAAGGGGTGGGAGGTGTTCCTGTTTCAAGCAGCAACAACAGAACATTCTGGAGAGCCCAAAAGGGCCATGTTCTAGAACAACGAGAACTAGCTATAGAATCAAAGGTGCTCTGGACATACCCCCCCAAGAAGCTCAGAAACAAGCTTCTGAAAGATCATACTGATCTGCGAATAACTACCTTCGAGATCAAAACTCGACACTCTTTAAAGGAAAAAAACAAAACCCAGAGATGGAGCAACATAACACCCACAATGGCAGGCATCCCATAAAAAATTACCAGATATGGGGCGCCTGGGTAGCTCAGTCAGTTAAGTGTCTGACTCTTGATTTCAGCTCAGGTTGTGATTTCGGGGTCCTGAGATCAAGCCTGAGATCGAGGGATCTGCGCTCAGCACAGAGTCTGCCTGAGCTCCTCTCTCTCCTCTCCCCCTCACTTGCACATGCATTCTGGTTCTCTCACATTAATAAAACCTTTAAAAAACAATTACCAGATATGTAAAGGAGAAGGAAAATACGACCCAAAATCAGAAGAAAATCGCCAACAAAATAAAAAATTACAGAAATGATGGAATTAGCAGAAAAAGACTATAAAAAGCTATTATAAACATATTAAACAACTTCAAGAGAAACAATGAGGGTAACAAATCAAAGCCATAAAAGAGAATCAACAGGAAATGCAAAGCCAAAAAAATCTTAAAAGAAATAAAGTCAGGATGAATTTAACTAAGGATCAGACACTAAAGAAGAAAAGACAATAAAGGTGATGACGGCAATAACAGGTTCCCAAGGAGGCACACAGCATCTTAGACGGGGGTTCACAACACAGAGGCGGAACAAAGTGCAGAAACCCCAGTGGCACAAACTCAGAGCCCCACCGTGAAGCGGGTGGTCACCAGATCGCTGAGACTTATAAATACCTCACAAGCACCCGGGGACCCGCAGAGGGGAACAAAGAACACTCACTTCTTATCAGAAGACAGCAGAATAGGGCATGACATTCTTTAAAGTACTGAAGAAGAAGCATCCGTCAGGAACCCTACAGACAGCAGACACTCAGAAACGAGCCTCCGATAAAGATTTTCAGACAACCCAAAGCTGAAAGACTCCCAGCAGCAGACCTGCACCACACTACAGGAAATGCTGCAGAGAGCTCTTCGGGCTCCGGGAAACTATCCGAGCTCTGCCCTCTGACCCAGACCCCACCCACATCCAGGCCTCAGACCCTATTTTGCCCCTTCTCGACCCGAGCTCCATATCCAAGCCCCACTCTTCTGCACCAGCCGGGCTTGCGCACACGACCCCTGCGGTCTCTGAGCCACACTGTTCAGCCTGGCCTTTCCGCCTCTGTACTCCTGCCCCACATCAACTTCACCCAGTGTATCCCACCCCCCTGCGTTTTAGGACCCCGCAGCTTGCCGGCTTTGCCTCACTGTCTAGGAACCACAGAGAACTAAAACAGGTCAGAGCGCGCACAGAGAACCACAAGGAAGCCAAGCCAGAGGAGGGACCACAGCGGGAGCGGGAAGACGGCGGACTGTGCCAGAACGGAGCAGGCGGACAGCAGCCGGCTGCCTTTCAGACACCGCCACAGCTCGCACACGGGAGCAAGCAGATCTTCACGCCCACGTGGGCCCGCGAACGACTCGGCGTGGCACTGGGAGGCAGGAGCCCCACAGGGCCGGATCCAAGGCAAGCCAGCAGCAGCCAAGCCCCAGCCGCAAGGCCCCGGGCTCACAGACCGACCCCGGGCGCACGGACCGCCGCAGCAGCCTGAGGCAGGGGCCAGCAAGCTCACCTTCGCTTTACAGAGGTGAAAACTGAGCCACAGGGAACGCTGCGTGCCAAGGAGTCCGTTTACCAAGTGGCAGTCTCCAAGGGGACTCTGGGGCCACGGTTCCCCATCCCACCTAAAGGTCCGGGGCCCACAGCCCAGCAGCGCGCCCTTGAGAAGAACGGAGCCGAGCCCCCGAGCCCCAGCCGCACACGGCGGGCAGGTCGCAGGGAGAGCGTCTGGGCACCCGCGCTCTCGCTCACCCCGGCTCTGAACTGGCCATACGAAAGGCGGCTCATTACTTTGCCATCGAGGGAGGAAAAAAAGACCACAGCCAAGTGACCTCCCACCCCGTGTAACCAAAGCACCGTTTGTGCCACAAACGCGGAGACAGAGCGGGTGGGGCACCACAGGCGCCCGGAGCCGGCAGAAACCAAGCGCGAGAGCAACCAGCTGTGAAGGAGAACTCTTACCTGGGAAGAGCCGGGGTATCCTCCAGGGCATCCTCCGGAAGTCCCGCGGCGCCCGCCTGAGCTCCTGGGGGCTCCGCCTCCTCCGAGCCGGAGGCCACCTCCAGCCCCGCACCCCGTGGGCCCAGTGGACCCGGAGGCCCGCCTGAGTCTGCCCCGGGGCCGACCTCCACCTCCTGTCCCGGGGCCGGGACTGGCTCCTGCTCAGCAGCCGCCGCCACGGCCTCCTCGGCCTCCTTCCTCCTGGCCTTCTCCTCCAGCTCCTTCCTCCTCTTCTCGTCGTCTTGCCGGGCCATGTGCTCGAAGGCTGTGAACACCTAGAACCAAACAGCAACGCATCAATGAGTCCGCCTGCCCAGGGCGGAACCACGCGCGCCGCAGGAAGGTACCGAACTCCGGCTCAGAACAGAGTGACCGAACAGGAAACTGTGATGCTTTCCCACGAGCAAAACACAGACGCTTCAACCTGACCAGGAGCCGCCGCAAAGCAGTCTCGGACAGGCATTGCGAGAGCAACAGAAGCAAAACCCTGCAAGCCACGGTATCCACGCGCCCACGAGCCGGACACTGGGGTCTAGAGGAGGCGTCACCACGTGGCCTCCCTGTCCTTTCTGTCATAGTGCCCAGCAAGACTTGTCTGCCAGGGAAAGAACACACTGTCCTGGTACCAAGAGCTGCAAAGGTGCCAGCAATTCAAACTCGAGAAGAGAAGATGGGAATCGAGTTGAACACAAAGTGTCAGCAGCATAACCAAGCTGCCACTGCCTTCCCACATGGCACAGGAGGTGTGGCTCTCAGAAAACCTGGCAGTGGGGGCGCCTGGGGGCTCAGCAGGCAAAGCCTCTACCTTCGGCTCAGGTCAGGATCCCGGGGTCCTGGGCTCGAGCCCTGCGTCAGGCTCCCTGCTCAGAGCCTGCTTCTCCCTCTGCTTTTACCCCTCCCCCTGCTTGTGCTCAGTGTGTCTCACAAATAAATATGTAATCTTTAAAAAAGAAAGAAAGAGAACGTGGCAATCAACTCCAGAAACCACCGCATGTGCCTACGATGAGTGAGAAACACAAAAAAATCCCACCCTCTAAGAACTCGCCATTGCGGTGTGAGGACCAGCCCTCCCCGGGACACAGTGACATCCATACACGTCCTGGGACTCTCCACCCACAAAGGACACGGGAAACACGCGTTCTGTGTGCACCTTTCACGGCACAGACCCTCTCGCAGCAGCACCAACGGGAGGGGCCGTGAGGAGGACGAGCACGCAGACGCCCACTCCAGTCCTGGAAACCTACAGAAGTTCCTTGTGAGGAAGGACTCTGCAGCAGACCCCGAAGGAAAGCTCACGCTGGCCAGCAGACTACCGGGGGGCAGGCTGCGGCGCTGAAAGGTAGGGCCGTCTGCGGGAGCTGGAGAAGGGAAGGCTGGGAGAGCCTCCTTGAGGGGCTGCGTGGGGGGGCGGGGGGCTGTTCCAGTCCATTCAGCAAGCCTGCCCCCTGCTACCCACCCAGAGGAGCTGAAGACACATCCGTACAGAAACCTGCCCCGGGTACTGCTGCAGCAGCGCCGCTCCTAAATGCCACGGAAGCAACCGAGCTGTCTGCCAGCAGGCGAACCGTCCACCAAGACCACGGCAGCCTTATCACTCCGCCCCAAAAAGAAACCAGCGATCACGCCACGAAAAGACCTAAAGGAAACTGAAATCATAATACTAAGTCAAAGAAGCCAATCAGAAAAGCCTATACGTGTTCTGCATGATTCCAATTCCAGGATATTCTGGAAAAGGCAAAACTACAGACACGCTGAAGAGCGGCGGTTGCGGGGCTGGGCGGAGGGAGGAATGAGCAGGGAGCACGGGCGATTTCTCCGGCAGTGAACACACCCCGTGTGGCGGACACCTATCTTTAGGTGTTCGTCCAAACCCCGGAAAATGAGCAGCACTAACACTGAACCCTAATGCCAACTAAGGTGCGGGTGTCCGGGGTGGAATGCGGGCGGGTTCGTGGACACAGCAAAGGGCCCCTCTGTGGAGATGCTGCCAGCAGGAAGGGCCGGCGAGACGGAAGTCGCTCAGGAACCCTGGACCTGCCCCTCCGCTGGGCCCTGAACGTAAAGCTGCTCTCAGAAAGTGCTGGCAGGTCGGTAGGGGCCCCGTTCCAAGCAGCCAGAACGCACCTGTCTATCAAACCGTCCCGTTGCCTGCACGGAGCAGGAAGACAAACCGGAAGGTCGCTAACTACTGAACTACGCCACGCGCTTTCACCCTCTCTCACAGCCTTCAGGAGATGCTGGGAGGAAGGCAGGCAGCACTGGCGCTTCGAAGACGAGGAAGAACTACGCCCAGAGAAGCTAAGGGACTCGCCGGAGGTCCTGCCAGCGAAGAGGCAAGTGAGCGGTCGTGCAAGCGGCGCTCCGCGGAAGGCCATGCGTGCAGAGGAAGACACGGGCCGTGCTAAGGCAGAAACCAGGCATCGACCCAGACCCATTTCTACTCCCTCCGGGAACCCGAGCCCCTGGCCGCACCTCTCATGCCGGTGTTGAGGACACCTGACTGCGTCCTCAGAGCCACTCATCCTCCTGACGTCCCAGCCCTTCATCCTGACTCCACGTAAAAAACCGACAGCAAGGACTCTGTCCCCTCAGCCCCCGGACCTCCCGGACGCAGGGCCCGACGCTCCTCGCGGAGTCCGCGGCCTCTGCCCACGCTGCCCCTCCACACTCATCCAACCTGCCACCGGCCCGGCCGCGCTCTGCAAGCGCAGCACGTGGGGAGGGCGCAGACAGCGGTGACCTCCCGCCAGCCCCTCTGCTGACACGGAGGAGACTCTCCCGGCAGGTTCAGCGAGGCCCAGGAGGAGCCGGCCTTCCTGATGCTCGGGCAACAGGCCTCACCGGCTTCTCAGACTGGACCCAGGACGAGCGCAGGGCACCCGGCAGAGAACAGCAGCTCAGGACCGGCCCTCAGCGGCCCGACAAAGACCCGGGCACACCTGCTTTCTCAAAGGTCCTCCGGCACCGCAGACTGCTGGGAGCCAACTGCAGAAACGCTGGGAAGCGGCCCCTGGGTTTCTACGGAACCTTCCGCTCTGCCCACTCCCTTCACCCCCAACCGCACGTGCAGCCCCCCGCATCTCCCGTCCCTCCGCTGAGGTCTTCCCGCAAGGTGCTGCCCTCCACGGTCAGCTCTTCCCTCACACCGCTCTGGCTCCTCATCTCCTCTACACCCTGTCCTGCGCTTCCAACAGCGCCAGCGCGGGGACTTCTGTCTGCAGTTCCGACTTGTCTAAAACTACGCTTCTCGCCCTCAACGCAGGGCCAGTTCAGCGACCACACTGTCCTTACTCCCGTCACCCGGGTTTGAAACCACAGGCCATCTCCCACTCACCCTCCCTGTCGGAGGCGCGCAAACGGGTCTACCCTACACTGCGACCACATCACCGTCGAACAAGGGCAAAGACCAACCTTCCGCCCCGTGGGATTAAACAGAGGAACAGCTAAGACGGCAAGGGCTGCCCCCCAGCTGCTCAGCAAACACCCTTCCTGCAAACCTCGGAGGCTCTCCCACCCAGCAGTGGACCGAGTAAGAGCGCGGAAGGAGCCGGAAGCCGACCGCGGAGCCCCGGGGCTCCGGGACCAGCTCCAGGAGGAGTGCGGTGAGATCACCTGAGCCCGCTGGACAGACACCTCGGCGGCCACCCTCACCGCACCGCGGCTCTTCCACCCGCACCTCCCTCACGGCCTTTGAGAAGCCATCCCGCAGCCTTCCCGCCACTCGGCTGGCCCTGGGCCGCTGGAGCACCAGGACCGAGGGGCCTTTCTGGCGGGCCCCGCGACACCCAGCTTCTGCTCTCCACACGCGCACCGCGGAGCAGGACAGCCGGCCGCGGGCGGCTTGCGGGACTCCAGGAGCACCATCTGCCAGAGCCCCGCAAACCGCAAAGCGCCGCGGGAGCTGTGGGAGGCGCCGGCAGCAGCTCCCTCCTCTGCGGGGCCCGCCGGCAGCTGCACCCCGCCTCGCCCGCAAGACGGTCCTCTGACTTCCGAACCGCCGCCTGCCCCGTTCCCGGCAAGGGCTCTGACCCCGGGCGACCCCGCACGGCTCTGTCACCCCCCGGACGGCGGCGAGCGCGTCCCAGTCAGAGCCCGGCCCCGGGCCCGGTGCTCGACGGACGACGCACGCTCCGTCGGTAACACCTGCTCTGGCGCCAGCCCCGCCCCGGCCCCGGTGCCCAGCGCTGAGGCGACCCGGGCCCGCGCCGCAGCCGGACCCCTGGCCTCCCCGCCCCGCGACCGCTCCCGCCCACACCCGACCCCCGGCGCGCCGGGCGCTCGGCTCCCGCACGCAGTAACTCCCGCGCCCAGCGGCGTCCCTGCGAGCTCGCGGCCGCGGGGGGCGGGGCCGGGGAAGCGCCCGAGGGGAACCGAGGCCGGGAGCGGGGGGGCTCCCCCCTCCAGGCCGCCCCACCGCCCGCCGCGCGCTACCTGCAGCACCAGGGCCTGCGCCGCGCCGGGCGGGAAGCCCATGCGGTCGGACGGGTGGCGCAGCAGCCGGTAGAAGTCGGTCTTGCGGTAGAGGAAGCCGAAGAGCACGCGCAGGAAGTCCTGGACGTTGCCCACGTGCTGCAGGATGCCCAGCAGGGCCTGGTCGTACAGCTCGGCCGCCCCGGGCTCCATGGCGTCGCCGGCCGCGGAGACTCTGCTCACTGCGGGCGCGGCCCGGACGCCGGCCCACGGCCACTTCCGGCACGCTGCGGTAACGGCTCCGCCGCCGGCGCCACTTCCGGTCCGCGCCCGCCCGGCCCCCGCTCGTCAGGCCGGGCCGCGGCGCACCGGGCGTCCCCGCCGCGAGCCCCGCCCCCGCCTCCCGGCCGGCCTTCCGGGGCAGCCTCGCGGAGAACCACACGCGAGCCCAGAAGTGGCTCCTAGGCGCGAGAAGGCCCGGGATGGCGGGACCGAGAGCGCCTAGCGGCCATGCTGCAAACGGGCGGAAGGGGTGTGGCTCGGGCCGCGTCACGTGAGACCGGTGTTGTCACGTGGTAGGGGGGCACCGCCCCTCTCCGTGAAGAGAGCGGGTACCGGGCGGCCCGAGTCCCCGCCGCCGGCGTGTGGCGTTAGAAGCGCTGGGAGTGAGCGCGTGAAGACGCGCGTGCGCGAGTGCCCAGTGGCGGGAGCTCGGAGCGGCGCGCACACTGCCGTGCCCTCGTCGTGCCATGCCCGTACGCACGCTGTATGACGCGCCCTCGTGGGCGCGTCGTCTGCGCCGGACCCCGAGTCCTCAGGGTACGCCCGAGTGCGGCCTTGGCTAGCTCCGACCGCGACGCCGGTCAGACGCGGGACGAGCACCTGCCGGGGATGCCCTCCGACGGCCGAACCCTGCGGGAAGTAGCGCAGGGTAGGACTGGTTCCAGGAGCGTGCGCAGGAGCTGGGCATTTATGAGCGCTTTGAGAAACCGCGACATCGTCAGCTCGGGCGCAAAGCTGGCCGTGGCCCGCCGTGGCCCGCGGGAGGACGCGACCGTGGCTTAGGTACTCCAGCGGGCAGAAACGCTTTGCATCTCCGCTGGACTAAAATCTACAAATGAACGTGCATCTTCATAGCCTGCGGGCTCTAATTAATTGCAAATACAGCCTGAACCAGGAGAATTGCCCTCGGGCAGTGATTCTGAAACTTCTCAGAGTCATTTACACTCTTAACATTTATTGAAGACCCCAAAGACCTTCTCTGTGTCACATTCTTATTGATAGGTACCATCTCAGATATTAAAACTGACAAATTTTAAATATTTATTCGTTTTTAAATAACCACAAAAAGCACATGACATGCTAACATTTTTATGAAGGAATAATATTCTTCGAACAATTAGGATTACTGAGAAGTGTATGGTTTTACATTTTCACAAATCCCTTTAATCTCAGGCTTCATCGAAGGCAGCAAGATTCTCGGAACTTTTGCATTCACTGCATTGCAATATGTTGTTTTGATGGAAATACATGAAGAAATCGCACCTTACATAGATTGTAGTTGGAAAGGAAAGGAGCGTTTTCATCGTCTTTTCAAATAAAAGCATTATTTTTTGAAATCGAAATTGCACAGGGGTAGTTTCTTAACAGTGGTAATATGGAATCTGAAACACCAATGTTTGCTAACTGTCACATGAACACCCATCGGTCTGTCCTGAACCTTGACTGGATCTCTTACAGGCATGGTTTCCTACACCAGGTCGGAATGCAGACTGTCGCATCACAGACATGTGAAGGACACTCAACTGACAGGGCTGGGAGAAAAAGATGTGGACCTAAGTACCTTGGAAATGAGTGGAGTCTCAGGCTAAAGGCAAAGGGAGCTAAAAAGAGACGCTTCACCCTAAAGGTGTTTCCTGGAGGGGTGTAGGCTGTCATCTCTGAAAACATGACCCACATACAGGGGAGGTGAACAATGAAGCAGATTGTGCCGGTGGTGGACTGAGGCTTCTCACTGCTGACGTGGGAGCTCACGGAGAAGCCAGGAGGAGCCTAGAATGATTTGTGTGACGGTGAATTAGAGCTGGAGGCATCAGCATGAACCAGGTTTAGCTTTGTCTAGCTACAGATGGCTGCAGGTAGAAATATTTATAGAAATGGGCACATACATGTGTCAGTTTACACACACATATCTCGTTGCTCTCTCGACTGAGCAACAATGCCCCAGCAGCAAAGTGCACACAGAGCACCAGATCCTGGGTTCGAATCCCATCTCCAACCAAAGGGCCAAGACTCCCTGGAGAAATGGCTGATTCTGGGACTGGAACAGAAAGTATACGAGCTGAACCTGGACCAACTTGCTAGTCTCGCCAGGCAGCAAGGAAAAAGGAAAAACCCTCCATGATGGGGTTATGGCAAAGGGACGTAGGAGCCCACAGAGAGACCCCCCAAAATGAATACCCGTGAGTCCACACAGTATATATCACTCTGAACAATACACCTATGGGAGGAAACAGACAATGTTCCTGTCGGGAAGAATTCCAAATAATTTATGTAAGTACTCTGCTCTCCAGGGCATGGACCATAACACCCCTCTCCCTGAGTGTAGGCTGTGCACAGCGACTTCCCTCCAAATAGCACCGTAAAACCAGCATGGAAGGGGGAAGGGTAACTGTACCGAGATGCCTGACGGACACGACCTCGGCCAGGTGACGAGAGTCAATGCCAGCAGTGGGAAGGCACAGGGATACCAGGCACCCTTCATATAATCTGCTGAGAAGGGCGCTCCACCTCTGTGGTCTCTCAGCCAAAGACCTATAACTTCAGTCTAATTAGGAGAAAAACGCCAGACAAGCCCCGTTTGAGGGACATTCTACCAAACTCCTGACCAGTGCTCCTTAACGGTCAAGGTCATCACAAACAAGGAAAGTCTGACAAACTGTCACAGCCAAGAGCCTAAGTAGACATAACAAGTAAATGTCATGTGTTGTCCTGCGTGGGATTCTGGGGCAGAAAGAGGGACATCAGGTAGGCTTAGCCGTTATTAATACTGGTTTATGAATTGTGCACTGATAAAGGTACTACGCTAATATGATATATTAATAAGGTAAAATGGGTGTGAGACCTATAGGAACTCTCTGTACTATCTTTGCAATTTTTCTGTAAATCGAAAACTATTTTAAAAATTTTAAGTTTGCGGGGTGCCTGGGTGGCTCAGTGGGCCTCTTAAAGCCTCTGCCTTCGGCTCAGGTCATGATCTCAGGGTCCTGGGATCGAGCCCCGCATCGGGCTCTCTGCTCAGCTGGGAGCCTGCTTCCTCCTCTCTCTCTCTGCCTGCCTCTCTGCCTACTTGTGATCTCTGTCAAATAAATAAATTAAATCTTTTTAAAAAATGATAATCACCCATAATCCTACCCTTCCCCACCAAGAGCAAGTGGGATGTGCTGCATTGGTGTGGGTCCAGGGAGGGAGGCTCTCTTATCCGCTGCTGGTGGGAGTGTGAAGAGAGCAGCCGCTCTGGGCACGTTTCATCTGTACCTGTTCCTTAGCTCGCCAACACCACCTCCAAGTAGCCCTCCCGTGTATGCACAAGGAGATGTACAAATCCATGCTCAGCCTCATAGAGGTTCCTGCTCTGTACCTGAAATCTCACAGGTGCAATGAATTTCAGGATTTAGGTTTCTAGAAAAGTAACATGATGCTCACCTTGCCTTAGGTATTACCCCGCATCAGGGCCTGTGGCTATACACAGCGGAACCAGGCTCGCCGTGTGCCCGACACCTGACCACACCTGTCAAGGACGCCAAAGGGTATAACACCCCATTCGTGAAGAGTATAAATAGACACACCTTGTCTGGTCAGTTTTTGTCACCAAATGAGTTTGCCCCAAACTTACAAAAGAGAAGGAAGATAAACTAGATTTCCAGAGACTTGGGGATTTGGGAATTCCACATAAGGGATTATGGAGCTGGAGTGGTAAAGTAATTGGGAGCAATGTGCCCACCAGCAAGGGGACGGGATGAAACCACTGCATTGGTTCACACAGGGGAACCCAGTGGGGCCACTGCCATGAGGACTGGGCAGGTCTACACGGCCCCCGTGAATAGATCTAACGTGCGTAGCCTGTGAAACTCGAGAAAGCGGATGTCAAGCATGATTCCATTTACGAAACATTTTAAAACCTGAGATAATACTATATATTGTTTACATATAGATACATGGAATTAAAGTTTCAAAACTTGCACGAAGAAGACACACGCCGAGTTGGAGAGACAGGAACAGGTCACACCCACGCTGCCACATGCCGCCTTCAGCTTAATCATGTCCTTACCAGTCCGACCTGATGGCCAGAGGAGGTCCCACTACAGGCACCCCCGTGAGGACAGCCTCTCCCAGACCTGAGTGGGAGGACCTGTCGGGGACCCCATCCGGGAACCCGCATGGCCCTGGGGTCATCAGAACTAGTGTCCACTGCGGGGCAGAGAGCTGTGAAGGCCACTCTTGGAGGAATGTTCGAAGCCGTAGTTGACGTAGGTGCTGCTGGAGGTGGATGTCGGGCCTGGGTGGCTCGGGCAGGAGGCCATCCTGACCCTGGTGGCCTCTTCCATCTGCTTCTGCTCCAGCACTAGAGCTGCGTTGACGTCAGGCCCTGCAGGGGAACAGCCACAGAGGACCACGGTCAGGGGGGCCATGTGCTGAGCAGGAGGCTCCTCGCTGCCCTGAGTCGGTCAACGGGAGGAGGAACAGCTTCTCTTAGCAAGCAGGCCTTGCTGGGTACAGCCACAGGACGTTCCAGGAAGAAAGGAGACAGGTGTGCACAGGTAGGCGGGGACGTGCTCTGCGAGATAGAGCGATAGGATTGGTGCGGTCGACTGCGTGGGAGGGGCCCTGCTGGCTGGGAGTGCTGAGTGCAGGGGTGGGGGAGGCCCCGTTCGGTGCAGGGGGCGGGGCTGCTGTGTGGGAGGGGCCCTGCTGGGAAGGGACTGCAGGGGCGGGGGCGGGGCCGCGGGTGGGAGGGGCCCTGCTGGGCTGGGAGGGCAGGGGCGGGGGCGGGGCCGCTGGGTGGGCGGGGCCCTGCTGGGCTGGGACTGCAGGGGGGGGGGGGGGGGAGGGTCTGCCCGGCGCGCAGGCGCCTGGGCGCTCACCCAGGTAGCTGAGGACCACTGGCAGCAAGACCAGGCCGTGCAGCAGGCCCAGCACGGTGATGAGGAGGTTGAGGCGGAAGAAGAAGATCTGGATGAGCTGCGCCTTCGCCAGGCCCAGCACGAGGATGCCGGGCAGGTTGGTCATGGCCACACCAGCGAACACCTGGGGGTCACAGGCAGGCGTGAGGCCAAGCGGGCGGCGGGGCGGAGGGGGGAAAGGGAGGCGGTGGGCCCACTCACAGCGCTGCCCATGAACACGGTGGCTTCCTTGGCCCTCTCCAGCCGGGTGGGCCGGGTGCTGACCGCAAAGGCGCGGGTGATGTGGGACACGAACTCCACGGAGATGC